TTTACTGATGAAAAAGTATTCCAGTCTCATTATGATGGCTGTATTAGGGTTAATAGACCGCCTCGAAATTGGTTTAACGAAAACTATATTTCATCAAGTGATAAGTCCGGACGGTTCTCTATAAATGTTTGGGTTTGGATGTATAGAGGAGGTTTAGGAATGTGTTGGAGAATTGAAGGATAATTCAATACTGAAACCTATTCACGTATATTAGATAATGTGATGTTGCCATCGGTTAGGGAAATTTTCTCCAACAATAATTTTATTTTCCAGCATGATAACTGTTCAATCCACACAGCCCACCGTGTACGGGATTACTTTATGGAAAATAGCATTGAAGCTCTTCCATGGTCCTCTAAAAGTCCAGATGTTAATCCAATAGAGAACAAAACAGAGATCATTTATGGACCACCATTGAAGAAACCTTGGGAAGCTTGGCCAGGATGAAAATTTGTCACTACATTTAATTAACTCAGTTCCCAGAAGATTACGTGATTAATATTAATGGAGCTATGACACAATATTAACTTTTCGAATTGTAATACATATATTTAAATCCCACACTTAATCACTGTAAAAATTATTCATTTTTTATTAATTTCAAATTAAATTTTAATTTTTTCCAGTGGGTTTTATTTACTGTGGTATTCCACAACCCAATACAGTTTTGTGCTACACTTTACGAGAAACCAATCACACCTCTCGATTTGAAATTAAACATAAATTATAATAAAACATGAATCAATGTATGGGTACTGAGAATGGAAAATTTCAAAATTAATAGAAATTTTTAAGATGTATGTTTAAATAAATGTATACATATAAATGTGACTGACTGATTGAGAATGCTCAATATTGTTTTAGTTTTTAGCTGAACAGCCCTGCTTCTATCTGGTTTGATATATTTTCGTTGAACTGGCAATGTTGCCTTCAAAATTAGAATGACATATGTGACAAGCTCGACTTACACAACTTGAAAAACATGATTTTCGGTTATAAAAGTTGTACCAGTTTTTTATGACGGGAACGGTACCACATCACTTCCTTTCATGTTCTACCTTTATCATTTTTCTTACCACTTATGATGTCATAAATTCAAGCTTAAACATTAATTCCACTAATTTAATAATTCATTTCTTTTTCAATAATAGAGATTTGCAGATTTAAGACAATAAATTTTATCATTTAAACAAATTTAATTTTAACTACAGTGTCATTAATAAGATATTAGGTATTAATTACAACAAAATAAATTTTATAATTTTTACAATTAAAAAAATTAGATTAGGCTCGGAACACACCTATACCTAGTCATGTTCAGCTGTCTTCTTAAATTATATTCCGGTCACGTCAGCCAGTTGGTCTGTGTCATTTTAACTGACAAGTACCACATGTTAAAAATCGAGCAGGGAGACATGTAGTCCCTAAAGTAATAAAATTGTATCCATTGTCATCGACCTAGAGTCACAACATAATTAAAATTTGGAATTATTGAAACCCATATATGGAGGTCACAGCCATAACTTTATTGTTAGCTTCAACTAGATAAGGCACTGAGGATGATCTGTTCAGATCGAAAATGTTATGCTAGTACATAAATTTTGACAAAACCTTTAAAAAAGTTTTAACTATGTGTTTTTATACCAAAATACAAATGTGAAGTGTTTTAACTTCTGTGTTTTTTTTTAACAATAGTATACAGCCAACTACTGGGATTTTCCCATTAATTTTAGATATATAATCATCATCAAAGCCTAGCAATCTTTGGAGATTACAGATAACAACTAACACCAGAGCTTTTGAAAATCTTAAGTATTCTAGGTGGATTACTCCTCTTTTAATTTATAATTGGCTTAATTTTTTTGTTGATGTTGTGACTCTTTTACATATTTTCCTATATTTACATTGAACTTTCTAGTGCTGGATATTCATTGTTCTTCTATCTTCTACATTATCCAGCCACCTTGCTTCTCTCAGAAGATTGCTGTCCATTTCATAGGCTTTCTTGCATTTTAAAATCTTTTGATATGTTCTCTCTTTTATGGTTTTTCACTATCACATATACTTCCACATAATTAGATACTTCTGTGCTGCAGTGTAATTTTTCCATAATTTCATGTACATACTTTGTTTTGTGTTGGTTTATCTCTAGCTGTATTATCTTTGCTTCTTTACCTAACTATTAAATTGCTCTTAGGTGTGTTATCTTTTTTTGCTATGATGACCAGATCATATTCATAATTCGTACATCTAGTTCAATACTGCCACAACTCCAAAAATTCCAATTTTGAGTTAAGGCTTTAAAAAGGTTGCATATATGATACCCCATCTAATGCAATACAACCTTAACTGAAATATTGTCTTGGATAAGTATAAAGTAAGATATTTCGGTATTACACTGTAGGGTTTTGAAATGCAATATGGCCATAACTAGGAGATGTGGTAATAATACACTCCGCCACAATACAACCGATGTAATTCAATACGGCCACAACTGCAAAAATTGTTAGATTGCTGGTACGATTTCATCAGTTCTTAATTATTTATGCACGAGGTATCCACGTTTTTAGGGTACAACTATTTGATTTAAAGTCTGAAAACAGTGTATAGTGATATTATTATTAACTTTATTATCAAACACGATGTCAAGGGCAAGAAAAATGCTTGGACTAGCTTTGCAAAGCTATCTTAAAGATGATGAGAATCTGAGAGACAATTCAGAGGTTTCTGAATGACATCTCCTTTGTGTTGACGGAGGTTTGTATTTCAACAAAAATTACAGTGAGGTTTTACTTAATGTATGTAATTTTTTAGCTTACTCCGGTTGCGTTACCTGTGCAAACAAATCATACCGCAAATACATTTGAAGATCAAGAAAATCTACATACAGACCCTCGCCAAGATGATTACATAGAGCAGGTATATTTTTATGAAACGAGAAACGGTTACTGGACCGGTGAAAAATAAAATAAGAGAACACATAAATTCTTTCCAAAGGGTAGAATCACATTATCTTAGAGCACAAAGGAATACATATATGGTTCACTTACTTTAGCCCAAATGTATCGCTACTACAAACTACAGGAAGAGAGTGAAGGAAGGCCTGTGGCTAAAAAATGCACTTACGAGCATATTTTCAAAACTGAGTTTAACATAACTTTCTTTCAGCCAAAAAAAGATCAGTGCGCAATTTGTGAATCATATAAAAATTCTTCTGCTGAACAGCAAGCTACTTTTCATCAAACTTATAATAAACATATCCATAATAAAATTAGAAGCAGAGAAAAAAAAAGCACAAGCTCTAGCAAGAGCAAAAGATGATTCTCAAGTATTGGTAGCTTGTTTTGATTTGCAGGCGATCCTTCCTACATCTTGTGGAGATGTTTCAAGCTTCTACTATAAATGCCGCCTGAACTGCTTCAACTTTACAATTTTTCAGATATTGCAAAAGACTGGTTACTGTTACTTTTGGCACGAGGCTATTGCTAACCGCGGCTCAAACCAAATAGCTACGTGTCTGTTTGATTATCTTTCAAATCATTGTAATGATAAAGACGTTATATTTTATAGCGACAATTGTGTTAGGCAAAATAAAAATAAATTTATAGTTACCATGTATCTCTATGCAATTGGAAAAATTAATGTTAAATCAATCACACATAAATTTTTAACAGTGGGACATACCCTAAATGAAGGGGACAACATGCATGTAACTATTGAGAGGCAAAAGAAAAAAATACTTAAAACAGGTCCCATTTATGTTCCTGCACAATGGCCTGTCATCATAAGATCTGCAAAAAAGAGGGAAATCCTTACAATGTAAAAGAAATGTCAACAGAAGACTTTTATGACTTTAAAGATAAAACTTTCACAGACTTTCAAAAATTGGAGGAAATTTTACAAAGAATACAAAAGATGAAAAGGTAGTCTGAAATGATATCCAAGTTATTAAAGTTGTCAAAAGAAATCCTGGATCTTTCTTCTATAGAACAGATTATAATGCCGATGAGTTCGAAGAGGTCCATTTTAAAGCATCGACAAGGGGGCGTTCAGCAACTGTGGAAGCAGTAATCGATTTAAAAAAGGCGTACATAAAGCCTCCATCGATATCCGCAAAAACCAAGCAAGACCTTTTGGAACTGTGCAATAAAAACTTAATATTACCTGATCATCACAATTTTTATAAGGACTTGGTTAATAGTACTTAAAAAGAATGTTCATACACACTTGTAATAATAATAATAAAAATATTTCTTGTAAGAACTAGTTGATTTTTTTTATTATGTTGCCACCGTATCTCCTATTTATCTTTTTATAAATGACTTTCTTCACAATGCAATATCGCCATAACTATCAAAATACAATTAACATTTTATTTTTAATAAATTGTAATAAGATCCAGCAAATAACTGTATAATTTGCTAACTAAATTGTAATTTAGAAGCCAGTCATTCTAAAAATAAATTATTTACAAGGCATAACTCATTTGCTACAGAACGTTTTGCTAATTTCTCGAAATTATTGTATTTTGGACTTGTGGCACTATTGAACTAGGTGTGAGATATGCTATTACTTACTTAAGAGCTGATTTGTGATAATGTTTTTGTTTATGAAGTTTATTGTTTGTATGTACAGTGTTATTGTTTCTATTTTCACTTATTTCTTCAAGGAGTTTTTAATAGTTTGTCTAAATTTTGTTTCTTTTTTGTAATTTACTGTTGTTTCTGTGTAATTAATTTGTAAATTCTTGCTTTTTTTAAATTATTCCTAGTCCAGTACTGTATTAAAAATGATCATACGCAGGTAGCTGTTTACTTATCATTCACCTAGTTCTATTGATGTCTTCATGTCTGAAAAGGTATAAATGTGCACATATATTGTAGCATTTCTTGATATATTGATATAGATAGAATCGATAGTTTGTTCAATACACTGTTAAATTGTTATAATAATCCGACCATCCTTAATAATGTAAGTAATTACCGAATTGTCGAACTCACCTTGCACTGTTTCTGATTGTATAGGCTTCCTTCTTGCCAGACGAATCTGCCTTCTGAGTGGAACTATAAAATTAAACCACTTGAATTTGAGATATACTCATAACAAATGATAAAAAAATAAAGATCGCTTATATTACCTAAATCTCCCATCTTAATAATTTTAGAAAAAAAAATGCAACTATTTTAACATTTGAAAATCAAACCATCAACGCATGAATAAATCATAAATCAAAATCAATAAGTTAAACAACATAAAACATAAAAAAACAAAAGAATCTGTCATGTCACAAGTCAAATGTCAATCACTTAAAACTGATTATGTAAAGGGATCCATACATGTTGACGGTGGAGTTGGAGTTATATATAATTTTACTATAAACTATTTTTTTTATATAAAGCTGGATTTATAGTTTGACGAACTGTAGACGTCGACGCACTGGAGACATAACAAACGGACTGTATGTATTATTTCAATTTATAAATCGACGAAGTGGAATTTTTGAGCATGGGTAGAAACAGTTGCTAGACTGATGACCATGATACTATAATATCCTTTTATTATTATTATTAATATTTTATAAATTCTTAAAGTCCATTGTAACAAATAATGAACAAAATTAAAATTCGAATATGTTGATAAGCAACTTTACAAAATGGTGGGCGGGCCAGACAGTTCACTTTGGTTGACAGCACAAAATTCCTTCCTTTTGATTGGCCAGACGCAAGTAACGCACTGTAAAAGATGAGAGTTGACCAGACCAATTCTTCCGTTACAGTGCGTTTCTCTTACGTCCCGTCATGCGTTTACGTTCACAGATCACCTACCTTTTACGTTCATTTATAAATAAGAGTACACAAAAGTCTATGTTGATCTTTTTCCAGTGCGTCTGCGTCTACAGTCCGTCAAACTATAAATCTAGCTTAGGCTAAAGAGTTAATACTTTATATTTTTATGCTACAGGATAAAAATGCAAGGAAAAAATAATTAATTATAATAATGATTTATAATAGATTATAATAAACTCATAATTACTCTTGTTTTGGAGATATCTCTTAAACTCTAGGTTTTTGTAAAAGTTCGCCCGGTAGAGATCTATGGAGAGAATAACACCGAGACGCAAGCTACTATCTCTTGTCGTTCTGCTAGTCTGAGATTCATTTCAAGTTTATAAAAATTAGCCGTTTATTTAAATCAAAGATTGTCTTGATCACAGTGAAATGAAAGCGTTTTGTTCGCCTGGTCCGCGTGACTATCTGAGTGACATTTTTGATCGTTATAATACCAAAAAATAAATATATATATATATACATATATATATATATATATATATATATATATATATATATATATATATATATATATATATATATATATATATATATATATACATATCCTCTTTCCTTCCAAATCCGCTTAGCGTGATTATCTGCCTAAAAGTATCAGGTACAATGGATTGTCTAGTATCTTGGTTGCTTCTTAAACGTATATTTTTCTTTATATATATAGATATATATATATATATATATATATATATATATATATATATATATATATATATATATATATATATATATATATAGATATGTATATGTATTGTTATGTCTTTAATAATTCTAATTTATTGTTCAAATTTTATTTTCTAAAATACGATAATTTATATCAATTTATTAAACCACTGAACAACAATTTATTTGACTAATAATCACATAATTTATCTATACGATAATTTATCTATACGTTCGTTACATTAAAACGCGAGCGCGAGCTTTTTTTTGACTGACTTTGTTTGCAACAATATTTCTATTTAAATATAAACTGCGGGTGGCCCAGAGTTCCGTTGAGCGGACGACGACCTTCTCGAGTAAAACAGAATCCCATGGATGTTGACCTGAATTGCCTCGAATGAACTGGAATCTTTTTTATAGCTACCTATTTCCAGAAAGTTCGATTGTTGTCTTTTATATTGGAGGGGGACCCATCGTGCCAGATAGGTTTTACCTGGAATTTCTACCATTAGGTCAAATCTAGAACATATAAGAATTAAAATATTTACGAGACATTTTTTTCGTAACAATATATATATATATATATATATATATATATATATATATATATATATATATATTTGTAAAACGCCATTTCGGCGTTTAACAATTTCGATGGCTGCTCTCCTCACGTCATGGGCGAAACGTCTTCATTAAATAGTTAAATAGATAAAGTAGCACAACTGTTGTCTTTTTATCTCCAAATTGACGGAAAACATCCCATTCACTTACGAGTGCACTTTTATATGTATATACATTGTTGTGATTTGCTTATAATTGTAAATCTACTTATATAGTCTGAAATGTAATAAATTTATATTTATTAAACAAATTAAAAGCAAAGAATATCTCAGGGCTAAAAATAATTTTTATCTTTTTTTTTTAATTAAAACGTGGCTTCAAAGTATCTTCTGCTAGTTCCATTTAAGAAATATCAACAAAAGGAAAAAAGAAATGATAGACAATCAATTCTGATATTAAAACAATTTTCCTTTATTTTAAAATATATCCAATTGATTTAAATTTTCGTTGAGGATAAATCTTTCACCATACACTATAAATAGAATAAAAAAATAATCAATCATAAATCAAATCACACATCCCTTAATGCTCAATAAAAATTAAATACACATATTTTTAAATCAAATATCTCTTAATATAAAAATTTTATTGGTTCCTTGACTTCCTGCTTTAACTGTAAAAATATTGCAAATTACAAACAATCCACATGAATGTTGATAGATGGTCGTGATAGAATGTCTTTAAAGAATTTATTTAAAAACTCAAAACTTTGTTTTTCAAATAGAATTGTGCCCTGACCAGATCTCAATGTACTTCCCAGATTCTACCAATTTCACTGCTCGCTATTCCGCCTACTGTTTTGTTTGATAATAAAAGAAAAAGACAAACAGTATGTGAAAATGTCGTGATGTCTTTACCACAAGCTCCAAACTCCAAGACAAACAAACTGCTTCCTCTCAGACACAACGAAAATATATCTGTTTGTACTTACAGTAATGCCTCTATTTCTATTGGAACTCGTATCTGCTTACCACAATGGCTGCTTAATTTTCCACACAAACACTAAGCACTACTTCTTATAAATTCTCAAAAAAAAATGTTTTCAATGGAACCGGTCTCTCTCGATGTTCTCACAACGTCCTTATTTTTTCTTCTCTCATTCCCGGTAGGCTTTTCACCCCCTTCTTCTTTATCCATCTCAAACCAATCCAAACAAACCTCCCCTCTCATCAAACGCATCATCATCGGTTTCTTATGCTTGGTTGCACCAACATATCTTAAGCTTAAGACGTGCCTTAGGTAGGCATCAGCTCAGACTGATCGACCGACCACGACCAAACCGTCGTATTATAAATATAAAAATTTTATTGGTTCCTTGACTTCCTGCTTTAACTGTAAAAATATTGCAAATTACAAACAATCCACATGAATGTTGATAGATGGTCGTGATAGAATGTCTTTATAGAATTTATTTAAAAACTCAAAACTTTGTTTTTCAAATAGAATTGTGCCCTGACCAGATCTCAATGTACTTCCCAGATTCTACCAATTTCACTGCTCGCTATTCCGCCTACTGTTTTGTTTGATAATAAAAGAAAAAGACAAACAGTATGTGAAAATGTCGTGATGTCTTTACCACAAGCTCCAAACTTCAAGACAAACAAACTGCTTCCTCTCAGACACAACGAAAATATATCTGTTTGTACTTACAGTAATGCCTCTATTTCTACTGGAACTCGTATCTGCTTACCACAATGGCTGCTTAATTTTCCACACAAACACTAAGCACTACTTCTTATAAATTCTCCAAAAAAAAATGTTTTCAATGGAACCGGTCTCTCTCGATGCTCAACTCACAATGTCCTTATTTTTTCTCCTCTCATTCCCGGTAGGCTTTTCACCCCCTTCTTCTTTATCCATCTCAAACCAATCCAAACAAACCTCCCCTCTCATCAAACGCATCATCATCGGTTTCTTATGCTTGGTTGCACCAACATATCTTAAGCTTAAGACGTGCCTTAGGTAGGCCTCAGCTCAGACTGATCGACCGACCACGACCAAACCGTCCGACGGCGATCAACCAAATTTTGTATTTTTATTTTTAAGAATATAAAGAATATTTTAGAATCGAAAATTATGGTGCAACGTAAGTGGGAGTTAAGGCATTCCTAGCTATAAGCAGAGCTAGGCTAAGCTGGAGCTTAAGATCTATTGGTGCAACCAGGCATTAGTCCTTTAAAAGGAAAAACGACATTGAATTCTTTTTTAACTTTTGTAAAGGAGAAAACTCATTAACCAATAATCCTTACTTATTATTTTCTAATCTATTATAACCGCAAATTTCAAATAGTGGTGTACTAAATCTACCTGGTCATGTCTAAACCGTATCATTTGTATCTTTTGTGAGTGATCTACTTGATCTTCATGTTTACTTGAGGCCTTTCTTATTAGCAACTGAAAGTCTATTGTCAATCCATTGTTTAATGTATCTTAGCCACGTTATCTATCGTCTAGCAGAATATCGTCTGTCCTTAATATTTCTTTCCAATATTATTTCTTGTCCTTTTTGCTCGATTTTATCTATCAAAGTTTGTAGATCTTATTCTTTGTCAGCAATTAGAACAATGTCGTTGGCATATCGAATGTTGTTGATTGTTCATTGACTTTTATACCTTCCGGCGCGTCATCACGTCATATAACATTAAACAAGAGATGGATAGAACGCAAGCTTGTCTAAAGGCCGTATGACACTATGCATTTTCTTGTATCATTTCTTATATCGTTTCTGATATAGAAAGTTATTTATGTTTTCTTGTATCGTTTCTTGTACGTACATTTTTGCCCTGTATGACACTATGCAAGTTCTTTTACCAGAAACTGTATGTGATTTGGCACATGATTGGTCGAAATTTTGACACCTATAAAAATAGAACTGCAGTACCTGAGGCACCGAACAAGGGCCTGAGGACCCCAAGCTACTGGGGACTGAGAACATAATGCTACTGATTATTTTTAAAAATACTGTGGTGCAAAAATGAAAGAAATAAAATGTCCCAATATGAAAACTAAATTGGAAACCACAATTTTTGAAGATATTCAACAGGTTGTAATGGAAGACAGAAATAATAAATAATTTGGTTGTAATAATTTATTTGT